TTAGAGTTACCTCTATGCTTTAATCACATTGTAATATTTGTCCAAGCATAATAGATATTGACAGATATAAATTGACGTAAACAAATTGTTTGAAGATCGTGTTTTCCCTTTACAGTGTCTCCAGTTACACATGTTTTGTTCCTTAATGCTCTTCGTTGGTTTTCATAAAAATTGAAAAATCCATACTTTCATGTCTCCGGAGACGAACCGAACGTTCGGCTGAAAGTCTCCTTAATAAAGATAACTAACTAACTTCCATGTCTATCATGATCATCACCAATTTAAATAGTTTACAGCTCATCACTTCCATCAGGTTCCGGGAATAATTGCATTAATTGAATAAACAGTCGCACAACTCATGATTTGGTTTTCACGTGAGCTAACTCTATAGCTATATAACAACAGTTTACTTTATCAATGCGTCACAAGAGATCACATGTAATTTTCTTTTCACGCACATAAACAATCGTTGTTCTAGGATTATATTTGTATATAACAAATGTTTAGTCCCAATATAAAATCAGACATTTACTTTTCTCCTATATCCAACACGAGCACAGTACGTAACAAACTCAATAACTCAATCTGTGGTATTTTAATAATCACGAGCATGATTCACGCAACGGTAATGATGACACTGACCCATTCAATCTTATCACGCTTCATCTCCAAAGTAAACTGAAGATAACCACCATAATCATAACCACAAGACTTCGTTTTGTCTTGTGACTGGTTACAAAAGTGTTCGTCTCGGAAAAAATTCTCCACTAGAGATCACCGCGAATGTGAGCAGAATCAAACAGCGCTCTGTATCACTTGTCCGAGACCGGGAAGAGCACGTTAATCGCGAACAACTTGATACGGACGCCGTTCCAATTAGAATGAAATTAATTAACTTTTTCATTTCACTGGAACTTGACCGAATGATGAACCTGTCTCTGTTTTGGTTCTTAATTTTCTACTAGTGGATCGGCACCGTATGACGCGACGCACTGCGACGCCATGCAGGCCATGAATTTCTACAAACCACCATGGAAGGAAAATACACTGAAATGTGCCGAACGTAAACAAATGTGTAAGCGGAGTTCGTGAGACGACCGACAAGCGGGTGTGGTACAGAATGGGCCCCAATCCGACAGGCAGCATAGCGCATAGCAGCCAGCCATGACGATGACGTTATGGTTCCGTGGTCACCATAGTAATAGACATAGGAGGCACAACAATAGCTTGTCCGCGCAAGAACCGGTGGAATGGAGTTACGACGAGTGCACCACATCTTACTAATACTACCGAATGTATGCAGATTTAAATGTCCACGTGTTGCATTGGATTCCTCGGTTTGATGATTCATAGATACAGGTGGTAGGTTTCCGGTTCGGAGAAATAGAGCATTAATTTGTTTATGTTGAGAAACAAATCATGAAAAAAAAATCATAAATTGAAGCTCGCAATAAGGCTGATGCTAATTTTGTTTTTATTTCATGTCCTTTACATAAAATTATAATGTTTTAACAGTAAAAGAAAACCGCCGTAAAAAATTTCTTATTAATCTGGGACAGTTTTGCAAACATAACTATAGGTACCTATGTCTTAATTTTCAAAAATAAAATAGTTAGATCTTGAATATCAATTATTTTTAAGGGCCACCCTAATGTTTACAACCACCAAAAGATAGGACTTTTGAGCAATTCCACGACAAATGATGAATCGGAAGAACTTTACCTTCTCCGAGTTGCATGAAACTTTGCATATTTGTTTGTTATGGGCAATTATTAACATTTTTACTAAAATTCGGCCATTTCGGATCATGTAATTTTTTAAAATGGCATCCTTGAAATTAAAAAAATATGTGCCATGGAAACGACACTTCCTATCAAAATTAAGTTGTAGAGAAAAACATTTTTTTTTCAGTTCGCTCTGAGGGAAGGTCCATTAATTATGTCACGCAAATATGGCCCATTTTCAAGACCCCCCCCCCTCCTTTGTCACATTTTTTGTATGGACCTTAAATTATTTTTGTATGGCTCGTCACAGTTTCCAAACCCCCTCCCCCTCCCCCTATAAGTGTGACATAATTAATGGACGATCCCTTAGCTGTCAACCTTGGTGATACAGCCATAGAGGTAACTCTAAGACTAGAAGGTCCCAAAATAGCGTGCTCAACTTTTTGGCTCAGCTCTGGTACACAGCAAAAAAAAATAATTTTAATATCACATCAAAGTGGATGCACTTCAATCGGGTCGAAAATATGGTGTAATATTGCTTGCCAAAAAGGTCATTATCATTAATACAGTGCCTGTGCTGACATTACGTTGCTTTTACTGCATTTGTTTATTTGTGTGGCCATAAAAATTAGATGAGATTTTCGACATGATCCTCTTGGATGTAATATCGATTCACTAATCGATTCACCCCTCGAAACATAGGAAAAACCAATAACCTCTCATTTTATCTGTCAAACTTTCATAGCGAATCAAAACAAACATTGCGTAGTATTAGAATTTCGACTAGAATGGGGTACGTCAATCGTTTGCTTGGGACCAATAGACTAGTCAAGTAGTGAGCCAATTTAAAATCGTTAGTTTCGTATTGATTGTTGGTTATAGCACAGACAAACAGACATAACACATTGAATATTTCTCGCTGTAAAACATCGTCGCAAAAACATTACCGCCATCTGTTGAGTACAGTGTGGTGGGTAGTACGCTGAACAGATGGCGGTAGTGCGTAAACGTCAAACGCAAAGGAATTGAGTATGCGCGCCACAGGTGGCGGTACTACCAACTACGATACTTTTAAATTGACCGTTAAATGCTTGTTCGATGAACAACTTGCGAGTGTTATGTCTGTTTGTCTGTGGTTATAGTGTCGCTGAATTTGTGGGCATGTAGGATTTCTGCCAGGACTTTCTCGTCAATGATAGGATACATTTCGGCTAGCTTTTGACGAGCCATATGCGAGGCCAGATCTTGTGAAGCTAGCTTAACCCAGCCGTTGATTTCGCTTCGGTACGCCGTTAGGGCGTACTCCATTTCCATAATGTCGTTCAGGTTGGGGGAATCCTCGATGGTCTTTTTGAACAAAACGGGATAATTTTCCTTCGCTTCCATTTGCTTGCCAATCGAGCATCTTTTTTCATTAAATCTTGTTTTCCCCCTGCAGCTGTACATGGAATCCAAGAACGACAAATACAACAGTTCTGCCATTTCTGTAGCCATGAAAACCTTTGTTCGTTCATTGATTAGTTCGTCTAAGGAGATGGCACCCGAACCATGCTTATCCTTGAAAGTGGCGTGTAGCTGGCTTATGAAATTAATTCCCAACGTCATTTCCAGCACTTCGGGATCGTTTTGCAAATTTTCCGCTTTGTTTTTTCTTTTCATTGTGTTCCGGACTCGGTTCCGGGGTGATTTCGAGCTGACGGTAGACCGATCGATTTTGTAAATCCCTTCACCACCACCACTACTGGAGGGATAGGCACTTGCGATACCATTGTTTCATTGCAATCACATTCAAACGCGAGTAGGCCGCCAACCGCAGCGGCTTCCAAATTATCCGCTGTCTCGAATTCGTATGTCTTTTGCTCTTCTAGCAACAGATTTGCTGTCCAATCACCGTGCTCATTGCAGTTCTCGAACAAATCCAACAAATACTGGACCGGAATCTGGGGATAGAGGATGCAAATTTCCGAGAAGCTAATGTTTTCATTTTTGCATCCTCGTCTGTGTCTGACCAGAGCAATCCGTTTCTTTTCCAATTTCTTCTTTTTGCTGGGCTTGACCGGCGTCACACCTGTGAAAATCCGTCCTCACTCGTTTTCTCAGAACGGCCGTCCCGGTCACGTTCAAATTTCCAATTTTCCTTGCAAGTGGGTGATTTGCCCTTTATTACCTATCGGTGGTCTCCAAGATTCCAGTTTCGTCTCCTGGCAGGCTCGCCAGAAATGTGAAAATCCGCAATTATGAGTGCACCGGAGTGAAAGATCACGTTTTAGATGATGGTGATGGTTTAAAATAATAGCAAGGTGTTTGAAAATACTTATGAATATTTTTAGATGACAATGTATCAATGTTCCACATATCTCATGATAAAATCTAGAAGTTTCATGCATTTTAAAGTAATTATACATTAAAAAAATCTTTCATTTTTATCATATATGATTTCTCGATTTTCAAAAAAAATTAACCTTTTACAATTTTGCGCCACCTCAAATCACGTCTGATTGAACCCAATCTTTGCACAGGGTCGTTTTTCAAGACAATGAAATTTTTGAACATGCGCCTTTTTGAAAAGTCAGTTTTCACCATAACTACGGTGTTGATGGATAGTTGCAGATATGTAGTAATAATCATGTTGCTCAATAACCCTGGTAGTAAGGTATTTTTAGGAAACAAACCCCTTTGCATAACTTTTCAAAGCATTTCGACTGTTAATGGAAAATACGTGTACTTATCCCTTCAAAACAATCAATAATTAATTAGGTCTGTTGAACCATTCAATATTTTCAATGTCAATCAGACATTCCATTCGCACCGGGCTCTAATTTTCCATGCATGTCGTGACCGTGAGGCGAACGAACTTGTCTTGCGTCTAAGACTGATGAACCTGTACTTGCCGTCCCCATAGTCTTTCTCGATGAAGGGTGTAGGGCATGCGGGTACCCATCAACCATCCACGCAGGTTACATGCATTGAAGAATAAATTCACTGCGGAAACAGTTATGTGGCTATATCAAGAACTAGCCAACCGTGACACGCGGGCCGCACGTAGATAATTGTAATTTGGGCAGCAAGCAGTAAAGGAAGTTGCTTCTACACGACTGGGGCACGTTCAAAGTGCATCGTGTATCATTTGATACTGATATGCATTCTATTTCCAGGAAAGTTTTTTTCATTATTGAGCACTAAGACATGTTCCCCATCTAGCAACCAAAGAAAACATAGTTATGGCAACGGTTAGAATTAAGTTTTTAGTCGCAAACGAATAACCTACGTCTCTGTTCAAACATCTCAAAAATGTCTCTTAAATATTTGACCAATGTTAAAACAAAGTAAGTTTCTAATTAGTTTCATGCTACTTATAATTGTTAAACAATGGAAGAAACAAAAAATTTCAGCTGGCTCAAAGCACGGGATGTTCGCTCGGCTTGTTTCGTTGGAAAAGAAGCACTAGCGGTAGGCATGGGAAGCCATATTCTTCTGATGAACGTTATCAGTAAACAGGAAACATTCTACCGGGCTACGGATCGTACCAGCGGTGAAGGCGTATCTTGTCTGGCGGGACACAAAAGTTTCAGCATTTTCGCCTTCGCCGAGTGTTGTGTATGCCCACGTATTTTCATCGTCGCTTATCCGGATAATTCCGTTTTGTTTCTACTGGAAGGAGGTATGATGACTTCTCAATGTTCAACAAAATAACAACATAATTTTCCCTCTCTGATCTAGATGGAAAAGCCTTCAACTATGTATCCCTGTGCTTTTCGGAAGGTGAATATCTGCTAGCTTTGTGTGGCATTCCTGACTACAGCATTGAAGTCTACGTTTGGAGAAATAAAGAGATGCTTATCAAACGAAAGACTGATATCAAAACTGACAAACAATCGCTAATGTGTAGTCCGGCTTCTACAGTAACGATCTGTCAGGTAGCCTACAATCAAGCGTTGGTCACTTTGTGGGAAGTTCATGGAAATGTACGGATTTCCCGGCTTATCGAAAAAAACGTGAAACTTCCGTTTGGTAAAGAGGCTGCCCCTTTGGATACTACATTCTCTATTGACGGAACACTAATGGTAATCAATAAGTGGGGAAGTGTATACAGTGTAAGTATTCATTGTTTACTTTGTGTATTTTTTTACTGCTAAAAATATGGAAGTAGATCGTACAAATCACCTAGCTGAGAAAAAACGAAAACAATTAGAATCTTGTAATTCACGATACTTAGATATTATAAATGTAGAATTTATGTACTGGATGTTAGGCTGCCCCAAAATACAACATGGTGTTCGTAACCCAAAACATATAGCTACGTAGACATTTCAGATCTCGGTATTGGTTTAGGCATTTATTATGCAATTTTCCTACACAGCCAAATCTTTGTAAATTTGCATTTGGCACATTTATGTTTGTTTCTCTCATAGTTGAAACATACAGTAAAAAACATTAGTTTTATATGTAAGTATTTAATAATGTGTGTTTTTACATGCATGTCAATCGATTTAATTTTCAACTAGGAACGATATACATTTATTTTAACGTGTGAATTTCAGTTTTAGTTCTTTTAATGTCAGCTAGTCAGACGTGTAATTTTTTATTTAAAAAAGCTCCAGTTTGTAGTTGAAATATACAATATATTTTCTACTGTGTATAATTAAAAATTAAAATTCGTATTGATGATTGAGATTTCTGTGAAATTTTACCGAAATCTCAACAGCGTATACGCAGTTCATGGACAGTTATACTGAAGTATGTACTTTAATAAATTTAATACAGTTTTCAGCTACAACAGGACTACTGAATCATATTATCAAACCAATGGATGAACCAGGTATACTGGCTCCTCTTATTTTCTACTGTAAGGGTGGATTATTTCTGAGCAATCCCAATGGAAGTGTTTGTTTCTACAAGCGTCAAAAAGGAACCTGGAATCAACTGTGGTTAACGAAGCCACCGGAAACGTACTCTCTGCTGATGCTTTACTCAGCTAGCGAAGGACTTTATGGCACAACGGTTGGCGGCAACCTCGTTCGAACGATGGTGGATAACGATCTTCGAAACGTGGACTTTATACCAGTAAAGGAGTTTGATTGTCAATTCACAAACCTTGTTGTGCTGAGTCCTCTTGGAGAGAGCTTGATTGCATGTAATGCATTAAATGGATTGATTGCAATCAATGTGAAAACCGGAGCAAGAATCTCCGAATACACTGTACCTGAGATGAGCTGCATGGTTGAGAACCCTATGTATCCTTTCGTAGCTGTTGGAACATGTAATGGAATAGTTTTACTAGTATCATTTATCTGCCCCGAAGAGCCCACCGAGCTGACTGCTTTCCACTTAAGTCATGTTGCCATTACCTCAATAAGATTTTCCACAGATGGCTCATACTTGGCTGCATTTGATAAGCAACAGAACGTATTCTTCATTAAAGGTGTTCCCGGATCAACGATGGATGTCATACAACATTATAAAGGCTCAGAATTTCAATTTCAGTCCACATTCAATGTCAACGAAAATGCCATTTCGATAATAGGAATGCTTTCCGAAAGCGGGATGGGACATACTCGTAAAATAATCAGAATTACTATTTCCTTACATGATGGCAACCGTCGAGAAGAAATAGGCTTTTCCCCAAAAGAGTATACTCAGCTAGAACGAAAAACTGACGGCTCTGCAAAATTGTATGCCGTTTGTCTTCTAACCAATGAAATAGATGTATTGCAGTTGGAAAGCGAAGGCGACGGAAAGTTGAATGTGCAAATTTGCTCAACATTAAGGGTGAAACATCAAGTACCATATTTTCAAATCAACGTGGATCAGTTTCATCTCATCACGTGGAGCATCGACGGATTGGTCAGTATCTACGACGCTGGATCGGATAAATTGCTGGCTTACTTTTTAGGTCACGATCGGACAAGACTTGGAATCAAACTGGCTAGATGTGACCCTCTGCATCAGTAAGTATTAGTACTGGCGATTTTAAGTTTAAAAGACAATCATGTGCAGTGGCGCCGGTGGTGTAGTGGTAAGCGTGATTACCTCTTACCCCAGCAAGCCTGGGTTCAATCTCAGTCGCCGCCGCCGGGATGTTCTTAGGCATAACTTCTCTGATCACGTCTTCCTTTGAAAGGGAAGTAAAGCCGTTGGTCCCCGGTTCATGATTTGATGGGTCGATAGGTAGGGTCCAGGTGTGGAAACTGCCTCCCTGGCGTCGGTAGCACGGAAAAAAGATCGACGAAAAACAAATCATGGAAAAAATACTAGCCCATCTGGTGGCTGATGGCACAAGCTTCTAAGAAATTTCTATTACAGCGAACCACATTATTTTAATTAATTTCTTCGCCAGTTGGTTGTCTGTCACTTTGTTTGAGCTTGTACGCTGTAATATATTAAGGCTCTGAACCATTTGGTGGATTATTTTAACTTTTGGTTAACATTTGACAGATGGAAAGTTATCGATTAACCCTGATATCCGAGCGTGGTTACTTCTGACAGACAAGATGTTAAATTTTGACAACCTTGGCTAAGTTCTTCTCGAAAACCGGTCGATCGACACAGGGATTTTCGAACATAGAAAATAACTTTCGAAAAGTCTCTTTTAACCACGAGTTCAACATTGTTGAAGATGCTAATTTCAAATAACAGACTCTAGTGGTAATTTCTATACGATAGATGGAGTAGATAAAAGTATAGAGTTGATAGTTCCGTTAGAGTACGGCAGTGTGAAAATTGCATATAGATAGTAGAATAGCGAGCTAGGACAACTTTTAAGGAAGGTACAAATCGGTTTTTTCAAAAAAGGAGGAGTTTGGTAAAGAGAGTTGAATGAAACAACCTTACAGTAGATGTAAGAGAAATTTGTTTTCCGTGTACTCTTTACAAGCGCCGAGATAACTAAATTCATGGTACTTTAAATTAAAAATAGAGATGATATAATTAATCTACATTTGCTTTTTATTCTTCTCTAATTAATTTAATCCTACGAAATAGATACATATTCACCCTTGGCCACACAGGATGTTTGGTTTGTACAAAAATGCACCGCAGTGCAGCCAACGTTGAACGATACAACGATTTGAAGCTCAGCCTCGAAACAGACGACGTGATTGCGATGTTTCAGAACCCAACAACTGGTTTCAGTCCGAAAGGATTTACCTTTACCCGATGGATTGACATGGAAAGGATCAGTAGACTTGAAAGTGAAAAACTTCAGTTTAAACCAGAGAGACTCAAGATATTGAAAGATTTTAAAACCATTAAAATGAAACTTAGGCAATTGTTGGACAACAATGAATCTGCTACTGAAGAGCAACGCATCCAAGTTCAAGCATTTAACCTGAATGCGGCAACCACTGAACAATTGAAAGCAAAAGTAATTATAACAATGAATTGTTTGAATTTTGTCTCTGTAATAGTAAATTTCACCTTCAGGCTAAAGTAGAGCGGGACGAAGAGCATCGTAGATTGTTAAGCTATATAATTAAACAAAAAAAGGTAAACGAAAAGATTATCCAGAAATGTTGGAAAATCATGGAACGGAAACCGGTCAAAGTGAGGTATGGTTCGTGCTTATTATATTAACTAATCCAGTCAGTAAGATATTTCTGAGTTTTTGAATTGCGGAACTGTTTGGTAAAAGTTTAAAAATCTGTGGAAAATAAAAAAAATAGAAAATTTAATCCTTACTTCTACATCCTTAGTTCTGTTAACCCCATTTAATGATTGAAAATAAATTTAGTCGATTCAATTTATTGCTTACTGTTAACAACGGTCATTTGAATTTTTACCAACTTTTTAAGCAATTCAAAAACCCAGGAAAAAAATACTAACTCCTGTAAAATAATTAAAGTTTGTGAATTGCTTATTTCATAATTACTGAGTTGTCACCAATGTTGTCGATAGATCAATTTTCACCAAGCTTGCAGTGGAAAATTACCCCTCTCTTCCAAACGAGCGCAATGAAAGCTTTCTGGCGAAGATGACTGTCTATCGAGAAACCGAACTCATGGCAAGCCATGATGCACTGCTTCCATGGAAACCGACCCCAACCTATCAGCTGGAATCCATATTGAATCGTGATCCTGATTATGGGAACGTGATTGATGTATTATCACGTGCCGCTATGAAAAAACATACCACACTCACCGGTACCACGACACATCTATACATGGAACCAATCTCGCTACGCTTTGAACAGCTTGAGGTGGTCACCTTCGAACAATTGTACTTTGATAAAGTTTATGGAAATGTTCGTGTTAAATTTTACTTCATAAAAATACCGTAACAATTCACTTCCACATTTTTTTCACTTTCAATAGATTCAAATGTTGCAGCTCAGAGATTTATTCAACCAAAAATTTGATGCATTGAAAGCACTGAAGGACAACGAAATGGATGTCGTATTGACGAGAAACAGCCGCTTACGGGTCATACAAAGTGAACTCAAAATTATTTTAAAACTCTTGGAAATGCCACAACCTAACCCAGAAGAAATAGTCGATCCTAAATTCCAGTCGGACGAGATCCCGGACACCATTGTTAGGATAGAGAATCACGAAATTTCCGTAGTACCGTATCTGACGCCTAGCATGGAAAATCTACTCACGCTAGAGAAAGCAGAGAAGGAACGACGACAACGGGAATTGATGGCAGATGACTTCAAGGACCGTGCTCTAATGGTGATGATGGATGGAGTACTGGAGCACCGATGGGAAGATGAAATCAAGAAAACTCCACCAGTTCCACATTGTTTGGTAAGCTTTGTCACTTATGAGGCTTTTGTTCCACTCAAATCATTTTTGCAAATTTTTATAAAAGCTTCTGCAAAGAAGCTTCTGATAGAAGCTGCCAATCAAGTATAACAAAAATAAAAATAATCGTGATTTTTTTTTTTATTATTATTTCTATTTTAAAAATATCAAAACGTAATTTGATTCAAAAACACGCTTTCAGGAAACGGGTAAAGACCCCCAGTACTACAATGAGACGGATATCCGTGAAGTCAAGGAATACGAAGAGCAACTCGAATGTCTGTACAAGGAACGTATGCGCTACAAAAAGATCCTCGAGGTGGAAAAAGTGGAAATAATCGAAAACTTGGAGGATCAAATAAAAAAATTCAACACCAGAGTAGGTGAATGTCTGTTGGAGAAAATTCGAATAGAAGCCGCTATTAGAGAGGAGGAAATGCGAATCCTAAGAAACACGTTCTACAACCATCAGCGACTCGTTTACGATCGTATAGCGGAGATGTTGCGAGAGGAAATTGATGCCACCAATAAGCACATTGATGCCCTGACTGAAACCATGTGTGAAATCCAAGATAAGGTTAACGATTACAAGAATACCTATGAATCACTGAATACCAAAGACCGTCTGCTGGACAAACAGTTCAAGATCAACTTTTCCGATACTGCCCAATCGGCGATTATCGATCAAGCTTATAAAATTTTCAAGTACTATTTTTTTGGTTCAAGCCTAACTTATTTGAAACATGAGCCATATGTCATTTCAGGAGGCGCCCAAAGGCACAACTGAGAGCCGTAGTCAGCGTATCGATATTCCAAGATTTGGCCAAAAGGATCACGGCAAAGAAAGCATCACAACAGAGCAATACGCTCTTGCCGCAAGAATGCGTGGATTATCTTGCCGCTTGTGATAGTCTGGATCAAGCATCGAATTGCCCTGCCGGAATGGATACCAATCTGTGGCAAACGCTTTGCAAAATGAGACGCATCAAGATGGAAAGTGAATTTCGGGTAACTATAGCTTAAAGAGGGACCCACAAAGCTGTGTCAACGTCAGTGTCAGTCTCAAATTTGAATCTGATCAAAATTGACGGACGATGCAGCGTCGATGTGAGATCACCAAGTAGAGATGTCGGTGGAAAAGCAACTCGACATATGTTATACCTGTCATTTGACGGGTGAACCCCTTCGTCAAAGCTCTGACGGTGATGCAGTATTGTGGGTCCCGCTTTACCCTTCAAATATAGATACACATTTCGAAAGGTCCTATACTGCCGGCACTCGCATATCAGTTCCCAGTTAAAGAAATGTGCAAAACCCAAAGCTTACACACATACGATCGAGCCTGGATGCCGCATTATGCGTGACGTATGTGGGTGCGGGGGTGGTGAGATATAACTTAAGCCACAGGTCTTGAAGCTGCTGTTACCGTACGATCACCTGGAGCGTTGGACTTGCGTTTGCACTCACGCAGTTAATCACGCGAGAATAAGGTGTTGCGTGTTTTGCCGAATGTCCCGTTGAAAAATCTCTCTCTTTCCGCACGAGCAGCTGTGCGCGATGGCACATAGATATTACATAAAGTCGTGTTTTGCACCCTCAAAGCGATGAGGCGACGGTCTTTAAGAACGATTGCCATTCCTCGCCTTTCCTGGTCCCCATTGCAGACAACGTTGAAGCCAGGGAGAGATAGCTGATCACTCTCCACCTCTTGAAGATCCGAAAAGAGTATGTATGTTTGTATGTTACGATTCACTTTCGGTGTTCGCTATGCGGACACCGGTTTAAACACCAGAGAAATATTGTCTCCACATTGTTGCTCTCGTACTGATATGAAGTTAACATACCTTCCGAGAAAATCGGTGATTTTTTGGTCCTCTGACAAATCGAAAAGCCTCACCCCCCCCCCCCCTGCTCCATTCTCCAGCGTAATCCTTAGTGGATATTTTTTCCGTCGACTGTTATGTCGTATTGGTTGTCATGTTCCTCGAAAATTCATTGCGCCAACCCTAGGTCGACGACCTTCACGAACGAAACACCAAGAGCTCTGCTGTTCTGTATTCGTAGCACTTTACCTTGTTTCAGAACAAGAACGGTGGCACAGAATGTGTGGTCTTTGGCAAGGTCCGGTGATCGCCTATGGTAGGACCAATTTTTTACTCATGATTAGGTCCGTTCGTCGAGTTGCCTTTCTTTGCTGTAAGCTGATGTCAGTGTAGTGAACACAATAGCTGCAAAATGTTACAAAATGCACTCGCCAGTGATGAGAGTGTTTTTCCCGGCCAAGACTGCTGCAGCCCACGGTGAGTCAGGAAAGGTACACGCTTTGCAGCTGGCTACTTAGAAGGCCATATCTTCGTAGCTGGGAGTGATTGAAGCAGGATCCACGTATAGTCGCTATATTCATAGTCTGGCGGATAGAATCTCGGGAACCAATTGAGCTGTCAAATAGCGGAACCAATAGAGCAAATCACGACCAACAACAGAAAAGAGCACATCAGCTATTTCGAACAAAACTTCGGAACCCTTTTTTCGTTACTCCGAACCGAAAATCACAACAGAATTCAATCATTTCGTTGATAGGCACATCATCCTGGTCACGGCACTAAATTGGAGGTGAACATTTTTCATACGAATTTTCCTATTTGGTCCCCCCTTTGCATAACTGGAGGTAAAAATCTATCATAAGAACTTTTCCCTTTGGTCCCCCCTTTGCATTAGAGATGAAAAGTCTTCATATGAATTTTTCCCGTTGGTCCCCCCTTTGCAATATCACAATGACAAGGAATCCAATAAAGATATACCTTGCTGTGGCAGGACAATTTTTCTAGTAGTTGGCAGCATTCATACACCAGTTTCGATGTGTAAGTCATTGATTTTACAACATTTACTACTGCTTCACTTTTATGAGCAAGAATGCATATATTTGCATTTGATTTGTAGGCGAACCAGCCCCAGGCTTATAATAATAAAGATAAATTAATTAATTATATTTGCATTTTTATAATTTCTTTTTAATCATAAAAATTTGCATCCTAGAACGGCATATATTTCTGCTTGGAATAATGTAGGCTATTTACATATTGGAACTACGACACGAACTGGACACGCATAGACTGAAGCAAGAAGAACTGAACGAACCGTCTTCTTTTTGTTCTTTCCTGTATTTAACGTCGGTATCTGTTCCGCAATCTAGTGCCAATCACCGACGGACATCGATTGCCATCCATTGACGGCAATCGAATGTGCAGGAAGGCAGGGAGGTTGAACCCCGACCCATTGGGGTGAGAAAGCAGTCACGATTACCACTACACCACCGGCGCCGGCAAACGAGTATTGTTCGTATTTAATTTTTTTTTTTCACGAAATATTTCACATCTGTTATTTATTTATTTATTGTTGATTCAATTAAATACAACATTTCAAGAGCCATATGTGAAAAGAGCATACAAGCGTTTTGTAAACAAACCTTTGTAGGCCATTCTCTCGCCAACCGATGATCGTCCACGCAAACCAACAACATCACCACATTGCGTTAGTGTCATATGGGTGGCGAGAAAAGGGCATAAGAAGGTTTGTTAACAAAAAAGCTTGTATGCCCTTTTCACATGTTGTTCTTGGTTTATTAGTGATAAAAAACAATTTCGAATCGGAACGTTTTATTTAGTTTTATGGTAATAAAAATGATTGCGCCGCCGCAAGCAAAACAGTAAAATATTTCAAAAGTTATACCAACCGGTGGAAACTAAGGATTTTAAATTGGCTCTATGGTTATAGCAGTTATACTGTCATCTCTCGTCTTCGCTTTATTGTTGCAAAATGTTGCCGCGCTCTTCATTTTTATTCAGTTCCGGTCGAACGTTCAAATTTTCTCAACAGCATTGCTGCACTGTATGAAAGTCATTTGAAGTATAGTCGCTATATTCATAGTCTGGCGGATAGAATCTCGGGAACCAATTGAGCAAATCACGACTAACAACAGAAAAGAGCACATCAGCTATTGTGAACAAAACGTCGGAAACCATTTTCTCGTGACTCAAGGCTTGCCTACGCAAACTAATACCATCTTTGGGTTGTGGAAAGATTCCCTTATCCGATGATGCCGGTAATTTGCGTTCGATTGGCGTGGAAAGAATAATTTACGTTTGTTTATTAATGTTGATAGTACAATTGTTGGTCTAAAATATATTGAATTGGTTCCACTTTTTGATAGATCGAAATTCTATCCGCCAGACTATGAATATAGCGACCATAATTTGAAGCCACTCGAAGAAACATGGTTGCCAAAAGGTCCCTCAAAAACCGTGCTGCTGTTTTAACATTATTTTTTTCGTGCGTCTCTATCAACGTCTCTGTTATTCACTACGAGTTGTATTGAACACTGTAAACGTATATTTGAAAGCATGTTTATTGTATGCCTAATCTTCATAACTCAAAACCAATGGTTTAGTTTAAAAATTAAACTAGAGTACCTACCAAGTATATAGACAATCAACCGGATTCACTATAGGGGCCCCTGAACGAGTCCATATTGTCCTCTGTAGCCTTCTTCAAAGTTTGCAGGGTGTTTTATACAATATCAGAGAGCTTACGCTAAAGTTTTCTAAACTTTTTTTTGTTTTGCTAAAACCGAAACACTACTGTATAGCATTAGTTCGCTATCAAAAATGTTTTAGGGATTATTAAATCACTAAGTGTTGTCCCATTACAATGATTGTTTTTTTCACATTTGTAGCTCAAAAGTTGTGAAATTCAGTTGGCAGATTCAGAAGCAGCGTTGAATGCATTCCAAAAAGAAATCACTTCAAAGCGCAATGGATTATCAGTACTGGAAACGAAACTACATGATCTACTCAATGAGAAGGTTAGTACTGATCTTATACTACCAATATCGATTGCACTTTTCATTGTTCTTAATGATGTGCAGTTTTGGACACTAGTCCAAAATAACTCATGTTAGGAAAAATTCCTACTACAGTGCCTTCCTGTTTATGGCAACATATGGTTTTGCCTTCTTCGCTTTCTAGAAAATCAATCTAAGGTTTTATTCCATTTCTGAATGCATTAGCACAATTTGAGGCAATAATTTGCTTTTGAAGTAATGTTTCCAAAAACGGGATGGCACTGTAGTCAACTTTTCCTATTTTCACGCACAGCTACGCAACAGCAAGATATTGATAGGCATATTTTATTACTTATATTCAAACAATTTAGTTTGAAGAGTCCACCAACAGAAATGTCCAAGTCGTGATGAAACGAGGTCTTATTGAAGTTCCCATGTCGGGAAAAATGATCGATTTCAACAGTTGCATACTCATTCATCGTACCGATGTGGATGACATCAACGTCGTAATTAAACGAGCTGGTTCGAAGAAACTGAAAGCCATGGTAAATGCAGCTCAGTTTAGAAGAAAGATTATCGCCCAGGAATGGGACCACAAGGCTTTGAAATTGAAAATACGCGATCTGAAAGACCAAGTGAAAATGATTGAAAAATGCAAGATAACTAAGGAAGTGCAGGATTGGTTGAAGCGAAAAGAAATGGGTGTAGTGGAGGATCTTGGCCAGTTGGCTTTGGAGCGGGAAATCGAAAACACAATCTACGCCCAAGAAAAAATGCTGCAAGAAGTGTAAGTGTACCAATCAGGTGTCTACTGTTTGGTATAACGACAGGCGATTAACCGTTTTGCATTTTAATTTTTTTAGCAAAAAGTCGGTCGAAGAATTAGAAGAGAAGATCAACGCTAAACGTAAGGAGAATAAATTACTTGACAAACAAATGCAGGAGCTGAATGTGGATGTTACTGAGCAACATCTGCAGAAGGACTCCGAACTGGAAGAAGCAGAACAAAAAGCCACACAGGCCAGAATGACGGCAATCATCGATCGCGCCCGATGGGTAAGGCTAGTGCAGACTCAGCACGCACAAATTTTGGAACTTGGAACAATGCTGGAATTGCAACGTTTGAAAACCTATCCCACGCTGACAGCTCCCCCGGTTCTCGTTGATCCACGGCACTTAAATTAAAAAACTGTCTCTTAGTTTGCAGTTTCGAATACTCTATTTTATTGTTTATGTGTGTAGATTTTAATAACTTAAAACTATGTTTCCTATAGTACTCCCTATAAACTTGATTGTGTTGCATTTCAATTTTGCAAGTGGGGAACTATGTATTGATATTTTTTTATTTCTTAGCTATTTCAACAATCTTATTCGAGGGGCTAGTACGAAAAGGCTAATGAACAGGCTAATAATTATTCCAATAAAACTAACATTATTCGTGATGCACTGCCGGTAATCGCAAGTCAGTCCCATCTGCATTTTTATCAATTTTGAGCTAGCATCATTATTCAGTTTATCATTCTATGTTTTTTGAGATGTGCTATTGAAAAAATGTGGTTTGTTCAAGAAAACTGAAAAACAATACCAAGTCAAATTGTCCCACAGCGAAAAGTAACCGCAAGTCAGTCCCATTAGAAAAAAATTTATCAGAAATGTTAGACAACACATCGCATCATGAGATTTGTCTCAATATAGCTTTTGCCAATATAGTTCTTACGATACTCAATTTGACCGCCAATGGATATGGCTTTGAATTATCATGTGATTTGATGTATCGCTTGATGGATTTTAATTTAAAAGGATTTACCACTTCCCCGGGTATACCCGGAACATGTCCGGGTGTGGCCAACATGGTCTCATGATGACCCTTATTGATCTTATCATCATGACCCTTATTGATCTTATTTTTGAATTCTCATGTGAATTGATTTATCGCATGGAGAGTTTGGCACGTTTGGCTCTGGTCTGATGAAGACCCATACTCACCGGAATATGTTCCGGCCATTGCTCTGGAACCAGCGGAACAAATCCAAAAACATTCAATAACGTTCTATGGGACCATAGTATCTTTCTACTGTTCAATACTGTGCTTAAACTAATGCAGCATCGGCATGGAATTGTGACTGACTTGCGGTTATTTTCCTCATTGACGTTAAATGTAATCGCAAGTCAGTCCCACTCAGATTTTGGCCATAAAATAAAAATTTCACGATATTTTTCCAATTTTTTTGGGTAAACATAGATGCATTCTATCACATTGTACGTTTATTTTTAAATTTATCCCTCCAAAATAGGTGTCAAATCAGAAAACTTGAAAAATCTTTGAACGCCGTTTTCTCATTTCCAGTTTTTTACAGATGGGACTGACTTGCGATTATGGGCAGTGCAGTCTTCAAAAGAGTTGTTTCTTATTGTTTAAGCTACAAGCCCTGAAATTTTGAGTTAAATCAAGTATAATAAACCCATTATTGTATGATCGAAAGAGTGAAAGGGTGTTATTTTCTCATACATTGTGTGACCAAAAACCCCATATAAACTTTGAATCAAAAGCGCCAGCTCGTGTTACAACCAAATGCTATTAGGAATGCTTTTTCATACAAGGCATTAGGTTTCAAGCGGTTTTGGTCTACCCTGGGTGGGTAAAGGTTCAAGTCGATTAATTCAATTCTTGATGGTTATGTTCCGAATAAAGTTGAACTTACAGCCCCAGCAGTGTATGTTGGGGTATGGTGGTTGTTTACAAATAAATGATTTCGATGTGTCGTTGACTTTCACTTGTAGTAACAAAACCGAAATAATGAAAAACACATAATCAATCAGGTTTTTTTTTCTCTCAAAATCAAGATGAAATGGCTATTATCATTCATCATCATCATTCGATCCGCATTTATTTACACAATTCACCAAGTTGCATAACATCATTCAATGACACCGATAACATATACAAATAGACACATTGTATTTATGTATAAGTATAGATTGAACATCAATGTTAAAATCAGACATTAAAACACGTTTTCACACTCATTCTTCCTTAATCTTGGCCAGTAGTGCATCGCAAGTCTTCTTAGCATCTCCTAGCAGCATGGCAGTATTCGGCTTGTAGAAGATCGGATTGTCAACTGCAGCATATCCTACACCAAGGGACCGTTTCATCACGACAACCTGTAAGTGAAAAGTTTAATTTGTAAATCGTTCTTGAAAGAAGCGCTAATTAGTGTAATTACCTGATCAGCCTTCCACACACGCAGAACGGGCATTCCAGCAATAATCGAGTTTGGATCATCTTCCGCAGCGCTGTTTACTGTGTCGTTAGCTCCAATAACCAGGACCAGGTCGGTATCCGAGAAGTCTTCGTTGATTTCTTCCATCTCAAGCACATCATCATACGGGACACCAGCTTCGGCCAACAGTACGTTCAGTTGACCAGGCATTCTACCGGCAACAGGATGGATACCAAATCGAACCTTCTTTCCATGCGACTTTAGGATATTCACCATTTCGGCAATTGGATACTGTGCTTTGGCTACACACAATCCATATCCGGGAGTAATAATAATGTTCTTCGAGTTCTTGATCATGTCGACAACGCCATCAACGTTCACTTCCGAATGGGTTCCAACGATTTCTGCGGGTTTGCCTCCGGCAGTTGAAGTTGTTCCGTATCCTCCCAAAATGACATTGGGCAGTGAACGGTTCATTGCCTTGCACATAATATAGGACAGGATGGCACCAGAAGAACCAATCAACGCACCAACAATAGTCATGAGATTATTGTTCAGCATGAAACCTTCAGCGCACAATGCCCAGCCAGAGTACGAGTTCAACACAGTGATTACAACGGGCATATCCGCACCACCAATAGCAGCCGTCAGTGTAATACCCATAGCCGTGGACAGCGCAGCCGTTGTTCCCAAGAGTCCCAATCCTCCAGTCATAGTTGGTTCCATGTAAAACATTGCCATTGCACCCAGATTACCAGCCAACAGGCCAGCATTGATCATATGACGACCAGGTAACAACAGTGGTGCAGAGCTCAGAAAACCTTGCAATTTACCATATGCAACCAGCGATCCACTGAACGTGACTCCTCCAATGTATGTTCCCAGAAACAGTGCAGTCTTCAGTACATTGGCCGCCGGGTCGGTTGCCAAAGTGGGGAAGTCATGCATGTAAGTAGCCACACAGGTCAACACAGCCGCAGCACCCACCAAACTGTGGAAAGCAGCAACCAACTGAGGAAGGTCGGAGATTTGAATTCTCTTGGCAATGATCGATCCAAGCAGGCCACCAATTCCAGCAACTCCTCCCATTTGCATCAGAACTTCGGTGCTGGGAGCCATGTATCCTAGAGTAGCAGCAATACCTCCTGTGACACCCATCTGAAATTTATTTTATTATGGTTACCTATGCAATATGTTATTCACAGTGATCTTACGATTCCAAGTGAGTTACCCAGCCGGGAAGTTTTCTGCGAAGACAGACCAACCAGCGCTCCGATACAGCACAAGCTGGAAGCAAGGTACGCCATCTGGTGAATTTCAGGCATTTCCTGAAGAGTAGCTAAGCCATATCCTCCAAGGAACACAGCACCAGGAATTCCGTACAGGTAGATGTGCTCTGGTGGGTCCGTTGGTCTCTTGAACATGTCCAACATACGCTGTGTCACCAAGAATCCTCCGAAGATGTTAATAAATGAAATCAGAGCCGCACTAGCAGCCAGAGTTTCAACCGTGTTGGTTGGAGTCATACCACCACCCATCATCAACAGTCCACCGACAGCGGTAATGCCTGAAATGGCATTGGTCACCGACATCAAGGGTGAGTGCAAAGCAGGAGTAACTCCCCAAACCGTGTGATAACCAACTATTCCGGACATGGCTAAAGTTGTCATCATAGTAGTGAAAGCTGGATTAGGAGAGATTGCTCCCAACCCAAGCAAACTACCAAAACCAGCAGTGTAAAGCATGCTGTTCTTCAATGTTTCATTGAAAGGATTCGGCGGTAGGACTTCTGCCTTTACAGTGGATGTCGCTGGTACCGATGGTGGTGGTTTTGCGGAAACCGGGATTACTGGTGGTGGCCACATAAGATTGCCGTTCTGTAGCACAATGCTTCCTCGAACAACCTCATCTTCTAGATTGATGTTAAAGTGATCGTTTTCCCCCATCGAGAGCAGGAACTTGGAGATGTTGTTGGCATACAAAGTGGAACTCTGAGCTGGCAGGCGACTCGGGAAATCGGTCAAACCTACGTGAACCACATCATGAACCACTTCCACTTTTCCAGGAACGGTCGTAGCAACGTTGCCTCCTGCTTCTGCTGCCAGATCAACAATAACGCTACCCGGTTTCATTGATTTGACCATCTCTTCGGTAATAAGACTAAAATGATCGTACAGGGAGCAAATTAAATTTAAGAAATAAAATTATAAATTTATATCAAACTTACGTAGGTGCCTTCTTCCCCGGAATTAACGCCGTTGTGATAATCACATCAACCTCCTTACACTGTTTGGCAAATAGTGCCATCTCAGCCTCGATAAATTCTTTACTCATTTCCTTACTGTATCCACCGGCCGTGGAGCCATCCTCTTCCAAGTTGATGGTAAGGAACTCCGCTCCCATACTCTCGACCTGTTCCTTAACGACTGGACGGGTGTCGAAAGCTCTCACTATGGCACCCATACCACGAGCTTGTCCAATAGCGGCCAATCCTGCAACGCCTCCACCAATGACGAGAATCTTCGCCGGAGGTACCTTGCCAGCGGCGGTGATTTGTCCCGTGAAGAAGCGTGGGAAGTGATTGGCAGCTTCAATAACTGCCCGATAGCCGGAAATGTTGGCCATCGAAGATAGGGCATCGAATACTTGCGCACGCGAAATACGAGGAATGGCGTCCATAGCTGAGCAATAAATTGTGTTAGAATCATTTCATAAAGATTACGTGCTATCGTCTCAAATTACCAAATGCATTAACTTTCTTTTGAGCTAGTTTGTCGATCAGATCCTTGTTTTGTGTAGGATACAGGAATGAAATTACAGTTGAGTTATCCTTCAGTGTCGGGATTTCATTGTCCATTGGTTGTCGAACCTTAAGTACAATATCTATGAAAAAAACACAGCATTGTAACATCCCATCAAACCATATTAACCACAAAACCTACCGGATTGGAATGCTTGAGATTTGTCGACGATATTGGCTCCTGCGGTTACATAATCAGAATCACGAAACTTGGCGTCAAATCCGGCACCTGCTTCAACGTTCACTTTGAACCCCTTCTTGACCAAGGTAGCAGTTACGGCTGGAGTTATGGCAACTCTGTAATTATTTGGTTAGTTTAAATACTGGAATATTTCTTTAAATCTTTAAGGGGTTATTCTGAACAAGTCTCGTCAATGACGTTAGTCATCTCAGCATCTACCTCAACTTCTTAATATTGATCACTAGGATACAGCAGCAGTAAAAAAATAAATCGTTTTTTATATATATTTTTCGAAAATTGAAAAATAAAACTGTTTTGTCTTCATAATTTTATATCTTAGATGTTTAGATGCTGGAGTAAATAATACACCACTTTAAAATGCACAAGTATGCAGAACAAAGGTACAATATAAGCCTACAATAGGGGAGTTTTGGGTAAAAACCGACAAACGACAAATCAAAATCTAAAAACTAAAGGACTTGGAATGCAACTACCGTAAAACGGGGCCAAATCAATAAACGAGATATATTTGATCACTGAGGTTCTCATTATTTATGTCCAAATAAAATGCTTTTCACGTGTCCAATAATCGTGACTCATAGAAAGCAAAATTTACAGGTTTTATGTTTTAAACGCATACTTTGTAACCTCTTCTTGTAAGTTACAAGTAAAACATGCCATCATACCATCTTTTGGTTTTATTATTCCGAAAAACATTATTTTAGCTGAAATGAGTATTTGCAACCTTGCCCGGAACAATACAAATATTACAGTTGAAGAAAAATAATGAAAAATATCAGTGATCAAAACAGAGCCCACACAAACCCCACTGATCAAATTGACCCCGTTTTACGGTAATTGTAGAAGAGTTGCTCAGAATAACATGAGTTAGCAACAGTGCCGCCCTAGTGGATTAATTCCGAAATTAATTGACAGTTCAGTTACTAAGGACCAACTTTGCTGAAGTCCGACACATACATATCATTTGTTTATCACATTGCAAAAAATCATGTGTGGAACACATAAAAATAATCAATGAATTTTTATTAGAGCGCTATAGTGAGTGGGTTTGAAGCGAGGTTTGAAGACCCCTTTCCACGTCCAACCACAGGCCCGAACGACTATGATGATCGGAGGCGGCAGATGGTAGGACTGGGCTGGAGGATTTAGGGGCTTCCACTTTCTTTGTCCCTCATTCTCTCTCATTCTCATACCTACGCAGCATCTAGCACCGCAAGGATGTTGATTGTGATACACCAATATGTAAGCGTAAGTCGATATGCACTTTCATTGTTATATATCTCGAGAACGAGTAAAGATATCGCAAAACGGACAAAATTTTCGTCCTTTTCAAAACAAAATCATGTAAGAAACACGCTCCTACGCGGTACGTTAGAAGCGTTAGGTTCCTACAGTTGGAGACTTCCATAAGCAAATATAGAAACCTTACGCTTCTAATGTACCGCAACTAATGGGGTGTTTACATCTGTACGGATTTACTCGCCCTAGTGTACTCGCCAACTAGCACGAATTTCAGTTGCTCCTGAAATTTCATGCTGGTAGACGCTGATGCCCTTTACACACTTAGATTTTTCTACTCTGCTGTGCAAATCTCTTAAAAAAAAAAAGTTTTACTGAGATATCAGCAAACATTTCATTTGTTTGCTGAGATTCAGCTAAGCATTATCCGAGACTCAGCAATCAAATGTCACTTTTGCTGAGATCTAAGTGAAACTAATTTTGCCGAGATTTGCACAGCCGAGCTCGGTAGAAAAAACTAAGTGTGTAGCTCTAAGTGTAAACACCCCATAAAGGAGCGTTTACTTTATATATTTTGTTATAGATGCATATTTTATTTGGAAAAGTTCCCAAGGCGATTTCTTGGAGTTAGACCCTTTGCGCCACCTTTAACGAAAAAAGCTATTATACTGTGAAAACATGTCTACGCAAGATTTTGAAAAATATGTCCCACCCTATTGGGACAGCCATACACTACCCGCCAGGACATCGCAGGAGAGGAACAAGGAAATCAAGTCACCAGTAATTTGACCTGGGCCAAGGCAAAAACAAGCAGTCGCCCAGGAATGAAATTTTTCACAATGACTACCACAGAAGATGAGTGAATGCAGTTTTGTCATTGACGAAAAAGTTAATAACATTTCGACGAAAGTTTGTATGTTTGTCCATATTGTTGAACCGTGGAATATTTCAATGGCAATGCCATATTTCAGCAATTGCTGAAAAATCTCTCAGAATAAATAAAACTTTAATATGAAAATTGACAATAACCGTTAATAAAGTATTCTTCATAAGATTCGTGGAAAATTGTTTTTTTTTTTACTATCCCAGCAGTATTCGTTCTTTGAAAGAGATATTACATAATTCATTATTATGACACCCAAAAACTCACCGTCGTTCGTTGACCCATCTCTCCTTCGGAACACCGATAACAATATTTTTGTATGATACCCCTGCCACAGCAGTTGCGGGTTTACCATCTTTCTGAAGCAGCTTCACGCTACCTGTAATTTAAACCGTTGGTTTAAATCTTATTCAAACTATGGAAGGATTTGGTAGAAAGGATGTACCTGAAAACAGCCGCAACGGATGTATCGGCTTGGAAATCTGCAAGATGGCATTGCCTCCATAGCTGCATAGGCGGAGCACGCCACGCGTCATCTTGAGGCTGCTGTGTTATCAGCGAACGGGCAAATGAACGAACGACCGAAGGTGCAATGTGCAAATCCTGCGCAAAATATAGAAAAGGGAGAAGGAAAGATCGAAAGAGTCATTAATTCCTATTCATTCAAAAGTCAATAGGGGCAACTAGTGTGATCGTTGTTTCTTGAATCAATTTTCACGTTCACTTGTTCGTATCAATTTACAACAAATGAGATAACATTTACACAAACAAATTATTTATTTTCTACAATATTGCTCAATTCCAACCCGCGGCATTGCAGTTATTTGAAAGTATCACTGAGCTAAATCAATAGCGAAACATTCGCTCGTTCATTCTAATCAGTTTGCAAATAAATATGTTGAACCAAAAAATAAACATCCTACAGCTTTCTTCATCACTATCTACTTTATACCTGCAATCACACATGCAGCACATTTTCAAACTCTTGAGGGTTATTTTTACCAACGATCGCATCAATTGCATCCCATATATCTTCATACAGATTCACTTTCATGCAAAATGTGCGTAGCACTGAATATTGTAATACTAGCACATATTCCCTTCTACGTATAACACCTTCAGCTATATGTAATTACCTATTTAGAATCGATGTCAATGAATGCCTTCGGTTACCTCTATGCAATAAATGAAAATGCACTAATTTAAAGGATATAACCGAAAGATAGACTAATACAGAAAATAAAAGAAAATGCGAAAAAGAACAAATCTGCGGACAATATGCCAAATAAATGCAACCGGCAAGTGTCTCCTCGGAGTCACTGTACTCGACTGAGATGTGGGGGAGCTTGGTGAATTCGAACGGCCGGCATAGCAGTAGATGCACTGTGAGAGTGTTTGTAAATATCCCCTATCGGACGCGCTTCTCCCTTTCGACGACGGTCGTCGGGTTGGGAGGATGGAATAGATTGATGATATGGCTGTGCCGGTGATGTTGACGGTTTGCACCAATACCTCGTTAAACGATCCTATCTCTGTTTTTTCAACTAAAACTGTTACAACTGAAATGGACAAATTTTCTCGCGTCACTTTTCAAATGGACCAATGTAACATATCCACCATTTTGAAAAAATCGAAGTTGAAGTTCGGCAGATTATTATTTTAACTGCTTAGAAACAATTAATTTTGCAATACTATTTTTAATGTAGTCAATGAATAATAACGCTGAAAATTCAGTAAAAACGGTAAAATCACAATTTTGCTTTGAATTTCAAAGTACAAAATAGAAAAAAAACTCATAAGACGTTTTGACTAGTCAAGTTGTACATCGGACATGTTCCATTGGACGATTTTTCTCAATGACATAATCAATGCGTGTTACATTGGACGTTTTGTTCTAAATCATACTAGATACTCTTTCACAGATTTCAGAGTAGAGTACTTAACTTTAGATTGGCCCCACCTTTAGAAAATGAGCACCAATCATGTTAGGCAGTTCGAGTGACCGAAGTAACAATCATGTACCCATCATTTTAAACTGTACATTGGACAATTTTTGACCTATAATTATCTTAAATAAATGAAAGTTATTTGGATGGGTGTTTTTGCACCACATACAACGATAGAAAAGCAATAGTTTGTATCGCTTAACTCGATTTGTTTACATTTGTTACCTAGGACCTTTTGAAAAAAGACGCGAGAAATGTGTTATTCTCAATAGCCATACATATAACGAAAGCTGCATGTGTTCATATTGCGATTCATGCGTCAATCTGGCTTTATGCGCAATACGTTGTGCATGCGCTAAATATAATTTTCATTAGACACCTTTTTATATCATAAGAACAATTTTCAAAAACGACAGAATTTAGGATCGTTAACATGTACACACTGAATTCATATCACCGAAGTCGATATAATTTTACTGAGTTTTTGAACAGCTGAAAAGGTTAAACCGTTACACGAAGAAAACAATAAAATCGAATAAAAAGAATATTAAATTGAGTTTATTGATTTTGTAACTTTTTAACTGTTCACTGATTTTCAATCTTTTACCGAACAGGCCTGGATTAGTGTGTATATTTTTTATGAAACAGAGATGAACATGCATTCAATTCCTTGTTTAACTCTCAAGCCCCCAACGTCTGATATTGAAAAATGCCAAAACTCTCACAATTCGGTCATTTCTGAACAGATGTTTCATCTATCTAAGGTGATGGCAAAACCGGATTTGCTAAAAAAAAACAGCGGAATACATTTGAAAAACCTTATCTGAGTCAAGTCTTTTTCAAATATTCATGGCTTGTTTTTTTTTAAGTTTTCTATCCGCTTCTAATACTTTTCTAACATTTGTAGTGATCTGACAGAGTTGTTGGTGTTCCAGCTGATTCCGACAGAGGTTCTAGCTTATTCCGACGGAGATTTCAGATGCTGCCAATGACGGTTCTAGACGATTCTGACGGAGGAGAGTCCAGTCTATACCGATAAAGATTTCAGACGGTTTGATGTTTGTGACGGAGGAGATTCTGAATGATTTCGGTGAAGATTTCAGATGCCACCCACAAGGGTTCCGACAGATATTCCAAACGATTCTGACAGAGATCCCCTACCATTTCGAAGGTTCCAGAAAAAAATTACAAGGGACAGCCCTATGGGGTTGTACGCAATGGTGCCAATCTGCACAGTACCGCAATGTGAGCCAACAGCAAAGCCAATGCTGCGTTCATCAAAACTGATCTGACAAATCAAACGGCCCTTTTCAGCATCACAAAAAATTTCAGGCTTAAGAGTTAATTTGAATTTCTATCTTCTCAATGTAATTCTTCAATGCATTACGTGTAAATATTTACATCATTGACAAATCTCAGGTATTCATGACGTTTAGATATTTGAAAACAACGCGAATGAAGGAAAGAGAACTACTGCGTCAGAATCTGTCATGATTACCTGAGTTTTGTCAAAAAACGTAAATATTTATGCTGTATGCAGCAAAGAATAGGCAGTCCTGCAGTTTTGTGTCAACCATATGCTATGATCACCATAAATACTTCACTCCGGCCCAGTTGCTTCAGGATTAGAAGCTTGGTTGCTACCATTTTTCCTGGTTCCAGGAATTTAATTCTTGTCAAGTTGAGTAGAACTCCTTAACCAGCTCACCAGCTTAGTAGGACACATCCAGCTCACCTCGGTCTTCCTCGTAGATCAGACCGTAGATACGCATTATCACGACGAGCCTGACGACAGTCTTGGAAATACCCTGTAAGTTATCATGCAACACCTTACGATGACGCTTGGCTCCTTCGCCGAAGCCTTTGTCTTCCTTGCCACGTCCAGGCAATGTTTATGCTATTTAAGGGGGTATTCCCAATCTTTTGCCTTTTTTCGGCCTGTTTTTCAATTATTTTTTTTTCAAGGAAAATGAATAGTAATGCGCCAAACTCTTTGGGATTCTTGTTTATTGAACATTAAAGTTTACAAATAAATTTTTTTCGACATAAAAAAAGACATTATTGACGTCACAAAATGGCGGCAAACAGACCCCTGTTCGCCGCAAACGCCTGGACGGGCGAAGACTTTTCTCTGGAACGGCTTCATCTGAAACAGATTTCGTGATGAAATTATAATCTGCATAAGATTCTCTGGAGCTTCTCCCGTTGGCAGCAAAAAATCTTGCAAATTAACAAAATGGCGGCCATATGAAAAAACAGGCGATTTTTAGCCCGCTTTATTGCAGCTTTAAGGTGCTTCAAACAATGTTAAATGTTAATATTTTTGGCTGAAAGTGGGAGAAGAATTTAATAAGGAACAAAATGCGCAAAGATTCAAGTCAATATCTCTTATAGTTTCTGAGAAAAATCTTCGCCCGATAAATAAAATGTGGTTTCGAGAAAAACGCGTTTAAAGTTTTGACTTTAGTGAAAACCATTTGGGGGTTCTTACCATTAGTCAGCTATGCCTGGACACCGAATTCGCTGATCGGAAAACGGCTTGGGGGGATGAAAGTATATAGTCTAAAGTACAAAAAAACGTGAAAAAAAAAATTTGATTTTTTGAAAAAAAAGATCGGGAATACCCCCTTAAGCTGCCTTCGGGTACGGTTGACAGGAAATGGATGCGAAAAACTTTCCATACAACTCTAGAGAGCGAGCCTAATACATACTGACCTGCTTGACGGTCTAACAAAGAATGATTCTTATTTTGACCATGAATACCTATTTTATACCTACCCGAAGGCTAAATTCTTCTTGCAAGTTGTTGCATTTTTGTTCTTTCATCGTTTATGATTGGTTGAACATAACAAAAGTATGTTATTAAGTAGAAGAGAAAGCGGTTGAAACTTTTATTCAACGTGTTCGATTCATCGTATGTGCACCGTAACTATGCACAATGGCTCGTACCAAGCAGACCGCTCGTAAGTCCACCGGAGGAAAAGATCCTCCTGAAATCGCTCAGGACTTTCAAGACCGATCAGCGCTTGCCAGCAAGGCCCTCTGGTCAGTCTGTTCGAAGATACCAACCTGTGCGCCATCCACGTCAAGCGTGTCACAATTATGCCAAACGACATTCACCTGGCTCGTCGTATTCGTGGTGAACGCTCTTAATTTCTCCGTCGAAATCTAACAAAACTGGCCCTTTCCAGAGCCATTAAAAGATTCTACAATAGAGTTGGGAAAGAAATTTCTGCTGATTTCACTGATCGCATCACAGTGAATCCTGATCTTAAAATTGCAACCAGCAAGTGCCCTAGAACCAAAAGCGGTGCGATGCTAGTTTTCATTGCTGTAACGACGACTGTAAGGGGCTTAGAAGCAGAAGGATGAAAGCCAATTCTCTATCGATTTCCTCTTTTGTGATCACCAAGGCTTCACTAACCTATTTCACACTATTTCTGCTATTCTCTTCTATCATCCACATTAACAATGGTATCAATGAATGTGCCTTTGAGTTAACGTTATCCGACCTGCTTAGTTGCTCCTCCGTGAATAATCAGAACTAATCAACTTGCACAGTGCGGTTGTTGTTAGAGACCAAGAATTCCTCAACATCTCCACGGCTGTCTCGAGGAAGATAGTTGTGTTAGTGAGGTAGGTTATTTTTAGATCAGGATTCATGTGGTAAGTGATGCGATCGGTTAAGCAGGATTTGTTTTTATTTAAATCTAGTGGGGATAGGATAAGGCAAAGTGAAAAATTGCAAGGATGGGGACGGGCCTGGGATTGAACCCCGACCTTCTGCTCAGTAAGCAGAAACGGTAACCACTGAGCTACCGAGCCTCGTCGTAATGGTACATCGACATGTTTCGTCTAGGAATGATTATCTGATGACTGTGTTGGGATAGCAGCATAAGCATGTACGTAATTGGTCAATTTATTAGTTAATTCGACGGTTTTGGACAATGCTGCACATTTACCTCTTTTTCAATAGTTTCTTGTTAAAAAAAATTAACTATCGGAAGCATTGCTATCGATGCGTAGAAATATTGCTGATCGATTGTTGTTAAAAATTTTGAAATTGGACCAGGGGTTGCTGAGTTATTAACGTTCAAAATCTTTCACAATTTTGTTTCATGTTCCATTTTCGGTTTTCACAAAGTGTACTCCCATATAGAAATCACAGACGTTGGTCTACGTCAAAAAGAACAGATTGATTTAGTTTGTTTTCCATCCACGATAATATCGATATCGTCTCTTCGTCGATTTTCTCTTCAAATTGCTACTGTTAAGGGAAGCAGTTTTCTGAAATTTGTCCAATACAGTGCTGTAACCTCGGCTGTAACAGGTTGTATTGACCATCAAAAG